TGAAGAGATGAACTAACAACGTGGACAAATTTACTACCAAAAATTCTTACAAATACTACTAACAACGAAAATTTTTGCTGTCTTGTTAAATAAAGACTTTAATTTGTAGAGAGATCAGAAAGTTGAAATGAAAATCGAGAGGACTGTCTCAAAGGGTTAATTGAATCTCCAATAATCATATACGATTGACTCTAGTTATTTAATTATACATCCAATCGAAACCTAATGCTGAAATAACAGAAATTACCCTTGAATTAGGGAAAAAAAAAAAGAAAAGGAACCGAAGTGTTCGTCAAAATAATCACAAAGGATGAAATGAAGCATAAGAAGGACTTAATAAAAAGAGTTTGGTACCTCTAGGAGTCGAAAGTTTTCGTTTCTTTCTATCGCAACCATGCTTCATATGCCGGATTAGGAACAAAATAAGGAGCCCAACTAGAAGAGTTTGCTATAATTTCAAAATATTAGTACTGAGCTAAATCACTCACAGGGCAACTCTCCTTTGGCATGTCATTGGAGTAAGTACATAGAAGCACCATTGCATGCCAAGTAAGAGAAGCCCTATGAGTGGTTCTTGCTTCGATTAGACCATTTGAATCCATAAGCATTTCAATCCCAGTTCGTGGGTGAGAAACCAAGATATTTATACATATACATAAGCTGCTTATGTTTTTTCTTTGCACAACCCTAATTTTATTATATACTAACTCCGTTGGAGCTAGAAATGGCATATGCTTTTGGATATCCTAAAAGGTTGCTTTATTTCTCATTTTCCCTTGAAGAAATTAAAGCCCTTTTTCAAGGATTTATATACCATATTCCTCCTTGCCTTTGTCCATGAATTTAGAGGTAAAATTCTACAAAAAGATTTGAAAGAAGATGCTGTCAACCCGATGAACTGTCGAATTATCAGAGGCTATGGATTGGCATATCCTTTGTTATNATTTATGGAAAGCTAAAAATAAAATGATAGGTACTCAATCTGGTCAGGTTTAGGTGTTTCTATTTCAGCTATGCAAAGGCTCTTTCATTTTTAGCCCCTTGTTTGTGCCCCATTATTTGACTGCATTTTTGAATAGTAAATTATTTAAAATGTGTGATTGAAAAATAAAAAAAAAATTTGAGTTTGCATGTGATATTATTTTTTTGAAGAGCTCAGTCTCATTCATTATTTGAATATAATTGTTTATCTCCATGGTCCTGTATCCTAAACTCATGCACATAAAAAGTAGTCATTTTAGCTCTTCTGAAATCTAAGCATTATTCATAAATAGGGTTGCTAATTTGCATTGTAGCATTTTAAGCCATTTGGCTTAGAAAAAAAATAAAAATAAAAATAAAAAAATAAATTTATTATGATACTAATATCATTTCAATTTGGAGAGAGAAGGTAATTAACTCTCTCTCTCTCTCTCTCTCTCTCTCTCTCTCTCTCATTTCAATTTGGAGAGAGAAGGTAATTAACTCTCTCTCTCTCGTTCAGTGGGGTTCCTATCCTGGAGAATTCTTTTTCCCCTATACATTACAAAATAACAAGAACAGCTTAATTAAGTCCAACGTTCATAATCAGCTTAATCAACTATGTCTAATTATAATTAGTTCAAAGTGTTTATAATTTACCTCCCAAGCATCATAACAGTAGCTTGAGGATTATTTCTTGGACTGTTGTAGAACGCCGAACCATCAATTACGAGTAATGAATCGACGCCTAGCACTTTGTAATTCTGATCCACAACCCTACTAACTTGGCAGCCTCCAAGGTTGTAATACCTTAAAAAAAAAAAAATGTTTTAAAACCTTAAAAAAAAAAAAAAAAAAAAAAAAAATAAAAATTCCCAAACTGTTAAAAAAAAAAAAAAAAAAAAACGGTGGGAAAAAAAATGGTCAAAGGCGGTGAATTATATCTCAATCCATTTCACAACATATTAATCCATTTGCACACACATATATAAATCCAATTATTACAAACCTCTTCTCTTTCATGAGAAGCCGAGGAGAATCAAGAAAAAGAGAGAAAAGAGAGAAAAAAAGGGGGGAAAGAAGAATAAGAAAAAAATAGAAAATTTTTGTCAACGTATTAAGAATTAAGTGGTCTATATTATTAGACTTGAATTCCTCAATTTTGAAAGGTAAGTAAAAAATTACTTATTGTCAAGTTATATTTGATTTTATAGTTGTTAGATTATTAGATTAAATTCAATTTTATTGAAGGGGTTAAGTGTAATAAACTATAAAATTGAGTAAGATGAAAGAAAAACTAGTTTAAGTTAGTAAAGAAACTGTAGAAATCGTCCAAACGTGAAATGATTAAATTTGGGTATCTCCTATTTAATTATTGAAATTATTTAAAATAATTTATTGTTTATTTAAAAATTATATCGTATTTCAGGCGACGATACTGATATCAGAACAGCTTATCAACTGGATTGATTTTGCGAACATAGTACTGTGAGTGGAAAAATATAAATATTTTTAAAATATTTATAAATTAAGTTTATTGTTAAAGTATGTGCAATTATATGCAATTATGTGTTCGAATTACATGGTTATTATGAAAATATTTTTTATTATGATATATGTGAAATTTCAAGGATTATTTATTGTACGTTTGTGATTTGGTATATGAGACATGTGATATTGAGATTTGTTTGGTATGTGAGACGTGATATTGAGATCGACCAGAAAAGTACACATGATTATGTACTTCTTCTAGTTCACAGAGGGGCTTTGGCCGTGTTCTATCCTACACAGAGGGTCTTGACCGGACATTGGTCTTGATTGTGTACATATAGTTCACATAGGGGCCTTGACCGTATTTTAGAATTGATTATGAGGGGTCTTTGAGACTGGCTTTCGTTCACGGAGGGGGCCAAAAGCCCGTAGCGAAAGTTCTTAGCTCGAGAGGCGGATTATATATTTCAGTTAGAGGGTACATTTTTGATGAATTTTTCAGCACATTTAATGTGATGTGATTATAGCATGATTATCAGCTCATGTTCATATTATGATTTTGAGATGATATTTTACAACCTTACGTGAATATTTCACTTTTGATTATAATTACATGATGTTATCTTATGAATTATGAAATGATATGAACTTCATTTTCGATGGAAATGTAAAATTGAAAAAGTATAATTATTGTTGAACTGCTCCACTCACTGAGTTATTAATTCATATATTTTCCCACGATTTTTCCTACAGGTGAAAATTGATCATTTTTAGCTGGAAGAGCCTAATGATTTTTGAATAAGAGCCACACGATATGTTGAGTGTTATAATTCATATTGATGAAGCACAAAGTAAATGTTTTGGGCCCATCGCATTATATTTTACATAAACATTCGATTTTGGCGTATTTTTTTAAATAACTCATAGTTAGCCTTGGTGATAGATTTAACATCTAGTCAGCATCTATCATCGGGGTACATCACGTTTCAGGTCTACTAGGGTGATTTAGGACGGGTCGTGTCAAAAATAATGCCATTAGTCATCAGAATGTCGACACAAAATTGTTGCATCGAATAAGTTGCTGTCGCATGGTTAGTCCTTAGGTTAATTGGAATAGTCTATGTAACCAAATAGTTTCACTAGTGGTTGCAATTATGGCCCAGTATTTCCACTCTGCACTAAATTTGGACCATATTAAGTATTGCAAAAGATAGAGTGCATTTTTTTCTATAAAAAAGAGAATTTAAAAGAAAGTAGAGTGAAGATCAATAGGGCAGCTGCTTTCAATTTCAAAATTAGAATAGGGGCCTTGTAGTTTTGGGGCGCGCTATCATGTTGAAAGATTTTATAACCATCGAACATCGATAAAATTTTCCGTCCACAATCAATCATCCCACAAAATTCAAAGTGCATTCCTACAAAAACAAATGAAATGCTTAAGGAAAAAACGAGTCAAACTTTGATTGAAGTCTTTTAAGAAATATTACAGCAATGCATCTACTTGAAAAACTTGTAAAATAAATGAACTGCTTAGCCTTGGACCCTTAATTAGCTTCAGTTAGTTTTGGATCACTGATCCCAAATGTTCTACCAAAAAAGTGATTGAATTAATAATAAATTATATAGAAACAAGTAAAATGAATAATTGTTTAGAATATGCTTATATTACATTCATCCAATTGATTATAATAACATATTCCATATAAAATCCATCCAAGTTTGGAGAAGCTTTCAGCTAATTTTGGGTGTACACCAAGATTTCCACCATTTGACGACTTAAAGAACTATGAACGATGATAAAGGATCATTTTAGTTCTATTAACCTTCCACCAATAAAAAGTATCAAATCTAGTTCTCTACTTTTACGAACATTCTATTAATATTTTCCACATCGTTTTTCATCTCAACCCAATCTTTTATGATTTGTTTTTTCATAAACCTATAAACAAGAGCATCACTCCTAGAAGAAGAAGTACCTTTATCAAAACTAAAAGAACTTAAAGAAGTCTAAATTGACACTTGATTATTCCAAGAAACTCATCCACATCCCATGAATCACTCATAAATAGACATTGGAATGGCTTTCAAAGCCTTAGTAATGTTATTAGCAACTTCCATATTCTTGTAGAGATCAACAAAATAATATTTAATGTAATTCGGTTTTTACGAAGGAAAATAGCAATAAGCAACAACTAATTCATATTTTCTATTTTACCTTGGTACTTATCAAACTTCTTCTTCATATTAGAGGCTATTTCATTCATCCAATTTGATTACAAAATTATAGATTTTGATGGTGCGATAAAACTATGTTTTTATCATTTACTTAAAACCACAAAATACAGTCAGTAACTTAGATCGATCATGTAAAAGATACAAGCATACAAAGCATGAATAATTATCGATAAAGATGAAAAATAACGATGCCCCTTGCTAGGAGTAGGGATAGGTTCTCGTACATCAGGGTGGACAAGATTAAAAGGTGCAGAAGATAAAGAGTTTCTATTATTAAAAGATAAAGCCTTTTGTTTTTCCAATTGACAAGATACACAATCAAGAGTGTTTAAATTAACTCTTCCTAAATAACCATTAGATGATAAAGACTGATTACGAGATAAATATGCATGACAAAGATGAGAATGCTAAAGATTGGAAGAGACAGCAGCTGCAAAAATGTTGGATAAAACACGAATTGGGAATCGCAAAAAGGAAAGCTCAAAAAACGACCAACTTTAAGTCCTGTCCCAACTAGCGAGATTCGTCTTCCAATCCTGCACATCATACCTTTGTTAGAAAGATTAAAACAAGACCATGTTCAACAAGTTGTCCAACAGAAAGAGAGCTGATCCCAATGACTTCTAACCTGAGAATGAAACTAAGCAATGGATTGACTAAGCTCCTGATGCAAATGATACAATTTTTACACCAACTGAAATTGAAGAGTAGCATCACTAGAACAATTGTATTGATCTGCCAAATTCTTTCTCTTTTGGCTCAGTTTTGTCTCCAAGGGTCTATTTATTTTTAAAGAGCACATTTTATTAGTTGGAGAGCATTTATAAATTTAGAGAGTTAAAAGTTTGAAATATTCCAACAAACTCTTTATATTTAACTCTTAGCCCTCGTTTAGCCCCCATTGATTTTCATTTAATTACATTTCATTTTTCCCTCTTTTATTTTCAACTATACAGTCTTCCATAAAATAATATTACTCATGAACCAAAATATTAATTTAAATTTTTCTTGAAATATAATTTTAAGGGTTGACTTTTTTAAAATAGAGTGTATCTTATGTTTAAATTTTAAAAAGTTTTTTTTTTTGGAGAAGTTCTAAGACCTTATTGCTTAACATTATAAAAATTGCATTCTTAGTACCTAATCTCTTACTCAATTAAATATAAGACATTGATTAACAAAATATGATAATTAAACAAATAAAATCAGCAAACAATGATAAAGTCTTGAGGCTATATGTTTCGGATCGCATCGCACTACATGTATATGTAAATACAATGATTTAAAATAATTTTATGATATACATAAAAAATTATAGAAAATATCGAAAGATCAATCCGATTATATATATTCTAAGAGATGAACTAACAATGTGGACAAATTTACTACCAAAAATTCTCAGGAACAAATTCTTACATAAACTACTAACAATGAAAATTTTTGCTGTCTCGTTAAATAAATACTTTAATTTGTAGAGAGATCGGAAAGTTGAAATGAAAATTGAGAGGATTGACTCAAAGTGTTAACTGAATCTCCAATAATCATATACGATTGACTCTAGTTATTCAATTATACGTCCAATCGAAAGCTAATGCTGAAATAACAGAAATTACCTTTGAATTAAAGCAATAAAAAAAAAAAGGAACCGATTGTTGGTCAAAATAAGCACGAAAGATGAAATGGAGCATAAGAAGGGCTTAATAAAAAGAATTTGGTACCTCTAGGATTGGAGAGTTTTCTTTTTCTTCTATCGTATCCATGCTTCATACACCAGATTAGGAACAAAACAAGAAGCAAAGCTAGAAGAGTTTGCTATAATTCCATAATATTATTACTAAGCTAAATCACTCACAGGGCAACTCTCCTTTGGCATGTCATTGGAGTTAGTATATAGAAATGCCAAATAAGAGCCGCCCTATGAGTCGTTCGAGCTCGACATCTTGCTTCAATTAGATCATTTGAATCTATAATCATCACAATCCCAATTCGTGGGTTTTTTTTTTTTTGGTCGAGAAACCAGTATATTTATACATACATAAGCTGCGTTTGTGTTTTCTTGACAATTCTAATCTTATTATATACAAATTCCATTGGAGCTAGAAATGGCATATGCTTTTGAATATCCCAAAAGGATGCCTTTTTCCCCCTCATTTTCCCTAGAAGAAATTAAAGCCCATTTACGAGGATTTATATACCATATTCCTCCTTGCCTTTGTCCATGAATTTACAGGTAAAATTCTGTAAAAAGATTTGAAAGGAGATGCTGTCAACCCGACGAAGTGTCGAATTATCAGAGGCCATGGATTGGCATATCCTTTGTTATATGCTTTCTTTTGTTGAATTGGCTTTTCAGAGATTGAAATTCTAGATTAATGCTTTTACAAGATTTCCACTTTAGTTAGAGAAATAATATCAGTTGGTCTTTAATTTGTTTGATCACAATTACACTATTACAATGAAAGAAGCTGTAATCCTACAGTTAACGAAAACCTCCCACCCACACGGTCCCCCTATTCTTAACGGCTTCATCGTTAATACAAGCTTAAATCGAGATTAACAAATTCAAAAACTCATTGGTTCTGCGAATACTTGTGAATTTGGGGTCAACAATTTGTCCATTCCAATGGAAAATCAAATAATCCGCACAAATTTGGAGAAACTCTTATTAGTATGTCTATATGAAACGCTAAAAATAACATGATAGGTATTCACTAAATCTTGTTAGGTTTAGGTGCTTCTATTCAGCTATGCAAAGGCTCTTTCATTTTTAGTATATATATGCAAATGGTATGTCCTCATTCATCATTTGACTATAATTGTTGATCTCCATGGAAAAACAAAGAATAAGATTCTTTCTTTTTTACTGTATCCTAAACTTGTACACATAATATGTAGTCATTTTAGCTTTACTGAAATCTAAGAATTATTCATAAATAGGGTTGATAACTTGTGCATAGTAGCATTTTAAGCCATTTTGCTTAAAAAAAGCGCTTGTGATTATAATATTCTCATTTCAATTTGGAGGGACAATGTAATTAACTCTCTCTCTCTCTATAGATTGATTTCCTTCAGTGGGGATTCCTATCCTGGAGAATTCTTTTTCCCATATACATCACAAAGCAACAAGAACAGCTTAATTAAGTCTAATGTTCATAATCAGCTTAATCAACTATGCCTAATTATAATTAGTTCAAAGTGCTTATAATTTACCTCCCAAGATTCATAACAGTAGCTTGAGGATTATTTTAGAACGCCGAACCATCAATTGCGCGTAATGAATCGACACCTAGCACTTTGTAATTCTTATCCACAGCCCTACCAATTTGGCAGCCTCCAAGGTAATGCGATTAGTCATCAGAATGTCGATACAAAATTGCTCCAAGGAATAAGTTGCTGTCGCATATTTAGTCCTTAGGTTAACTGGAATAGTCTAAATCATGTTCATCAGAGTTTGCATGGTTGCAAAGGGATAATGAAAGTTGAGAGAGATCTCGATTCCACAACTCTTCTAACGATTTCCAAGCCTTGAACAAATCTTTATACGTCTCTTGGATAATTTAAGTTGTTGAATGTGACTCTTGGGTTGTCATTGGGATCCCTTAATCAATATATTGATGGCCGGTTGAGAAAGGTCGCGTAATCTTCTCTAGGATGACTCCAGCTTGAATGTTTGCATATCGGTAAGGATCGGGTCCCGGCATGGCTTCTTGCATACTTACATTGAAAGGGATTATGAAAGGATGATCAGTCTGCATCTTTTGTAACATTTCAGTTTCAAACCTAAAACTTTCAATAGATGTAGCAATGAATCGGGTACAAACGAAAACTTATGGACTTAACTGGCCAACTAACCTGATTTTCGAACTTTGAAACTTCTTGTGCAATTCTAAGTGTCGAAACCAACTCAAAAATCCACTAGTTGCTTCAGTAAAATTACCAGATTGTGTTATACCCACCACTTGAACAAGGGAAAGTTCAACGGGCGAAGGTGAAGGAATAAAGACAGAATTCATTGGGTTATCAGAAATTCCTTGGCCTACATTTGGTTGATCCAATATCACTTTTATACCTTGGTTTCTGAGTTGCTGGGCTGGACCAATTCCACTTAGCATCAGCAATTGCGGGCTTCCAAGTGCACCAGAAGGTAAAATTATTTCATTCATGGCTCCATTGCTCAAATATGCCTAATATCATTTGAATCTCCGAAGTATGGTTTTTGACCTGCATCATTACAAATATTTGAAGTTATCCCGGAATTTTCATGGTACTTCCTTCTCAAAACCCAAAACTTCCAATATTGGGTGATCATAAAACTTAAATTCATGATTTTCATCTGTTATGGTATAATATCAAACTAATAGTTTGAATGGTTATAGAAAGGAGAAGTCGAGTCATAAAAAAATAATCAGAATGATCGACTTGAATAGCAACAGATATAAAGTTTTGTAGCACAAATTGGATATTACTGGAGTGTGGATGAGATTAAAAAGAGATAATAATAATAATAATAATAATAATAATAATAATAATAATAATAATAATAATAATAATAATAATAATAAAGTTTCAACATTACTTTTGTCATATCTAGTAGTCTGATAGTGTGTCCCATACCGTGTACTAAATAAAGTCAAATAGTATATACTTTTGTTGACGATTGTAGGGGAGTCAATAAAATTAAGAAAAACTGCATATCCGTCCTCAGCCTATTATTCTAGTAGCAAGTTAGTCCCGGCCTAGCAAATAAATTCTCAACTTTTAACTACAATTGCACAAGAAGTCTTGAAGTCATTAAACCTATAAATTTATGCTAAACTGTCATGTGAGACTTACGAAAGCATTTCTCAATTCAAATTCCTAGACAGAGGTTCAAGTTAGATAATAAAGTTTAACTTTATAAAGTAGGACATCTGAGAATACGAAGACAATTTGACATAAATTAGAAGATTTTTATCATTGAATAGGAGTGGGCATTTTAACCGAAACCGAATCTCCTGAACCGAAACCAGAGATTCCGGTTCGGTTCTAAAAAAAAATAGGAATTGAAACCAAAAACCGAGAACCGATCGGGTCCGGGTCGGTTTTTGGTTCTTGAATTGGAACCATGGGGAACCGAATGGAACCGATTTCGTTGTAATTTTTGTTAATCTAATAAATTTTAATTTTGTTTAACTTGTAAAGATTATTTTATTTTAATTATGTCTTGTAGATTTTGTTAATGACAAAACTCGTGCAATAGATGTCTAAATGGTTGGTACGACACAACTCACATGGATTAATATAGGCGACTCAAAATCTATTGAGAATATTCATCATCTGGAGATTGTGGTTAACATTTTATGGCTCTATTGATGACATTTTTCCGTTGTTTGACTTCTCGCGCGTTGGTTTTAAAATTTTTTGAACTTCTAATTATTATCATAATAAGATGGTCTTATTAATGCTCTTTTAAATTTTAAGGCTCTGTTTAATGCTGGTCCTATACTCCTACTAAAGTTCTTTTAAATTTTAACTAGTTTTTAATGCTCTTTTAAGGCTAGTCTTATTAATTTTTTGTGTAACTTTTAATATGTTAAGGCTTTGTTTAGGTCTTGGATGATTAATCCATTAATGTCAGTTACTAAATCTATGACATAATGGATAGTTTGTGATAATTCGTCTAATTACATGATTGGATTTACTAAATATGTATTCAAAAAAATGTTATGTATAGAACCGAACCCAAACTGGAACTGATGGTTCGGGTTTGGGTTTGGATCCAATAATTACATGGAACCAAATGGATCCATTTATAAAATACCTGAAATACTCGGACCGACCCACCCGACGCCCACGCTATCATTGAAAACTAATTCAGCAACTATTAGAGAAACTCACCTACAGGTTTAGTCTTGAGCAAAATTTGATAAACTGAAATCTTTGTTGGATCAGCATATTTAATAAACTAGAAGTATGTCTATACCCATTTTAATCAAAAATTGTGCCACCAACTTCAGTTCCTAGTAGATGTTCATATGTAAAATCGTTATACCACGCAAGCAACCCTTCCCTCACCGTCGATTGCCACGTCAGCACCGGTGGCTGAAACAGTACCACCTTCTTCTCCACCCAATCATATAACTCATTCACCAATCTTGAGTTACACCCAGCCGCCACCACGTAGTCAGAGCTGGCCCGGGCGAAGAAACCCACGATAATGGTAAAGCCACCGCCTAAAACCCCTGTGCGGGTGGTTGAAAATGCCGTCCATGGATATGAAAAGCTGAGGTTGTGGAGGTGTCTGTTAGAGTTTCAGGGAAGCCACCAATGTTGGTTATGTTGGGATTTCCATAAGGCAAGCTACCTCTTTCTAGCAATAAAACTTTTGCTCCGCCTTGAGAAAGTGTCGCCGCCAGTGCGCAGCCGGCTGTTCCGCCACCAATTACCATGTAATCGAAGTACACAGCCGGTGGAGCCAATTTAACATCTTTGACAAATGATGAATATGGACCTGCAGAACACACACAAAAAATATATATATCAAAAAGTGAAAAATCAGCATAATTATGCGAAATATTTATTGGAGTTTTTACATTTATTGATCATCAGCATGTACATGCAATATGCACCGCATACAAATGAAATTGAAAATAAATCAACATTTTACATTCTTGATTTCTGAATCAGTTCTCACAAGTTTATTTACTAACAAATTAATTCCAAAAAAGGGGCACACACTTGCCTGCGTAAAGATCAGTGAATTGTGTTGAAAATTTTACGCTAATTCCCTTTATTTCTATTTACCCACAAGATCGTTTGTTGTTCAAGAGAATGTTAGCAAACATGAAAAATAAAGAATATAACGCACAAATAAAACGGACCGTCAAAACCTTCTGTATGCCTTGTTTCCTTTTTTATTAAGTTTGTGTTGGTTATATCTTGATAAATTTAAATCAAATTTGAATTCTGTTAGTTGGTGAATATCCTTAAGATTAGGATTCTCGAC